AGTCAGTCAGTCAGTCAGTCAGTCAGTCAGTCAATCAATCAATTAACTTTATTTATACCTGCTTTTTAGCCCTTAGGAAAATCAGTGACTAGAGATTACTTTATCACCTTTTTTTAACTTCCCACTGGTCAGCCTATAAAGTGACTTGCACTAAGTTATTGTACATTGCATAAGTCAGTCCTAAGAGATGTCATCTGCTCCATCTCCCCTTCTAACTACACATGCCTCAGATTTCATTTAACATGCATGTTCTAATGTCTGACTGTGGTAAATTTTGTATGATGAAATTACCAAATGTGTTGGACAAGGTAGTCTTTTGTTTTTGTTTTTTTTTAAAAAATCGCATGTGATGTCGTGGGGGATTTATTTGTCTTTTTGTTGTTCCAAGCCTTCAGCACTGGACAGAAATAAATGTATCAAATGATTACTTTTTCAATTTCCAAGCTGAACTTACTAAAAACCTTTGTCAATCTTTACTCATTCTTATTCTTCCAGTGACCCACATTTTCTGTACCAAACTGGCATGAATAAAATTAATGTGTTGCAAGGCACCTATTAAAAAGATGCTACAGGGGTTGAACGGTCATTAAGACATATACAGAACAGGGGTGGAGAGGGAGATTTGTACCAAATTTTAAATGGGGTTCCACTGTGTGTTGATGAAACTGATCAGTAGGTGAACAAGTAGTCAGAGTTAAACTTCTATTTTTAATTTATGATTAAGTTAGGAAATTTAGTTTTGCATTAACTGATAAGGTGTTGTTTTTCTCCCTCTTCAAGATATGGTTGAGCTTTGCTCCAGTGGCTGATCTCACTGCTAAATATTATAAAAGATCTCTTGATGACATAAACTGGCTTTCCATTGTTTACCTGCTTTCTTATTTATTGTTTGGCTTGGTAGCAGTTTGGATTCTTGATGTCCTTGGATTAAGGACTGGGGTAAGAATAAGTTTTACTAGTACGATGGATGTTGCTAATAGTTATTATAATTGTGAACTTGTCCTTGAGATCCTATTTATGTTGCCCAAACCACCTGGGTGGTGAACTAACTCACAAAGTAAACAACTTTTGGAGCTGCTTGGAACACATCTGCTTGTTGCACCTCAAACTCAAACAAAGAAAACTACCTGTGGATAGGTTGTATCATTGTGCTTACAAGACAGGTATTTTCTTAACTGGAAATTGAAAATTTGAAATAAAGATGTGTGTGTGTGAGAGAGAGCTTTTCCCAGTTTCCTCAGGGATGTTTCTCTAGCATAAAACAACTATCCTAAGGTGAAAGCTGAAAGCTGATCAAGAAAACACTCAATCTAGAGTGCAACATTGGGCCGTTGTACTTCCCTTACTATATTGAAAGGTTTACTTTTTGTATGCCCACTTCATGATTAAGCTATAATTTAAGGGTATAGTTGTATAGTCAAAGCTGCTGTTATTAAGTTCTGTGTCCAAAAGACCAGGCTATATAGATTAGTTTTTTAGCCAGTTAACTGCACTGTGGTGGGGTAATCATCAACTGAAAATGATGGCAATATCCTGTTAACCCAATTATAGGCCTGAAATACAAAAAGTGAATAGGTTGAGGATGGGGTGGGAGGCATGAAGGCCTAACGGTTAGCATACTAGACTTGTTTGCTGGGTTTATCCCTGGCTGGGATCATTGCGCTTTCTTGTTGTGAATGAGTGTAAAGTCACTTTACTCTCACAGTGGTCTCCACCTGGGTTTGTAAATGGGTAACAGCAAATTTTATGCTTGAAGCAACCTGACTATTCTCCTATTAGAATCATTTAATGGTCATTACCATCGTAGGAAGTGTGGGACATTTAGCTCAAAGCAAATGTTAGGTGGGGGGATTTCACTTCCAACTAGCTAGCAGCTGTTATATTTTTAAGTGTATTGATGTTGTAAAAAAATTAATGTTTTATTTGCTCTTCACTTCTAGATTCTTTTAGGTGCCTGGTTGAATGCTGTTGGTGCAGCTGTGAGGATGCTTAGTGGATTTGATTTTGTTCCCCAAGATACCAAATTCATTGCAGTAATGGGAGGTCAGACCCTTGCTGCCCTAGCCCAACCATTTCTTCTTAGTTCCCCTACTAAGCTGGCTGCTTTGTGGTTTGGAGCAGATGAAAGGGCCACAGCGAACATGATAGCATCACTAAGTGAGTCTTTGGGAAATTTTCTTAAAACAAATCTGTTTCTCAGGAATATTAATTTCTTTGTTAATGGACACCCTGATCAGAAAGGTAGACATGTCAAGTTCTTTAGCTTAAACACAGTTATCACACTGTGTTTATAATACAGAGCTCTGAAGTCTCAGGCATTGAATGTGAGACTCACGGAAATGAATTCAGTCTTACGCTCTCACGCTGAGACTACTAGAATTCTCACGCATGTTTTTGGATATAATTTACTCCTTGTTTGCATTATATTTGCTTTGAACAATAAAAAGAAAAATCTGGGAACTAAACATTTACTTTTAAAGCATCACATTTCCGCTCAGAATGAAGGAAAACACGTCTTAGCTGCTGTACTTCAATTTTTCAAAACTTTCTGGTAGAGGGGGGGGGGGCATACCCCTAGACCTCTGTAGTAAGGTGAATTGTCTGCAGTGTCACAACTGACAGTAAGGTGATGTCTGCGGTCTCACCACGGACGGCTTTACCATTTCTAATCTCACTCTTTGCCAACAAATCATCTAGAGAGCTCTGGTTTATAGACGATTGTTGATCAAAATATAGTTAACATGATGTACAAGTAACTAGTAAGAACTCAAGAAAAAAATTTAAGTGTTATAATTAAAAGCATTTCAATATTAATACTTTTTATGCAAACACAGTCCAATTGTTTTCAATGTGTTTACTTCTAGGTAATCCTGTGGGTGTTATGGCAGCTAATGCACTGGCTCCAGTGATTGTCAATAAGAATTCAGATATCCCTTTCATGGTAGGTTCTTGATTGCAGACTGTTCTTTTCACATACACTGACAGAGGTGTCTATGAAAAAATGAAACATGTTTCAGAACTAAAAGTACATGTCAACTTATTTACTCCTCAGCTCTAAACAGTCAAAGTCTGTTGATACATGCACACACCTTATGGTGCTACCAAAAAGCATCTAATACATACTGTATTAATTTGTTTCTGGTTGTTATTAAGCATGTCAATTTTAAGAGAAAATCTATGGTTCAGGTTTTAGCATGCAGGAAGTATGCCCATGTTAAGTATGTGTCCATAAAGTAGGGTTTTAAATATTTATGTTTTTTGTTCTTCCTTGTAGCTGGAAATGTTCTCAATTCCTGCCTTTCTTGGTGTTGTCATGGCAACTTTTGGAGTTTGCAGTAGCATCCCTCCTACCCCACCCACAGCATCAGCAGAATCAAAATCAGAGCCTTTCTTTGTTGGCCTAAAGAAGGTGAGATATTTTTATTACTATATATAACTTGGGAAAGGGTATATCAATTGGAATTGAGCTATTTGGTAGATCATATTAAATGCTGTTTAGGTGCTGTTTATGCTATAAGAGGAGGTTCAATTTTAATCACTCTGTGAATGAATTTTCAATTAAGTGTGTTAAAGTTCAAATAAGGGCTACCGAACACTGCATCACTGACCCTTCCACTGACAATGCATCACTGACCATGTCTGTTTAACAGTTCTGTGTTTAAATACTGCACTTTGTGATGCATTGTTTGGAGTGAATGGATTATTTTCTGGCAATAACTGAATTTTTATTCATAGTGAAATATTGTGCATTAATATTATAATGTAACAGCCACCTTGGATAGAAAATTGGCCAGTCTATTGAAGGTTTTAATGCAAGTGTATTGACGGGTGCCCTGTGAGTAGTTGGGTTAGATCTCCATCTGCTCACAGGGTAACTGACTGAAGAATGGTAAGGATGAAGAAACCTGTATGCTGTACAAGAGGAATGCTAGCTGTTAAAGGGAGGTAGCTGCAGTTAGGACAGGTTCAACTGTTTTTAGAACGTAGCATTCAGTATTGTTTAAAGTCTCTGTTTCACATCTTGAACAGGTATTAAATGTTGCACCCTTCCCATAACATTTTGGGTTAATTTCTACAATTAATTTCTTAGTTGCACACTTCTTTTAGCTTGTATGTGAAAAAGTGCATGAAATGCAAACTGTGATTTGATAATCCCCATTTCCAATGTTCATTTTGTACTTAATTCCCCACTCCTCCATGTTATGGTGGAGCATTTTAAATTGATTTTGCTACCTCTTCAGACCTCAGATAATTATTGGTACTAGATCTGATAGCATTTTCACAGTCCATATTATCTGTAATGATCTTGACTTGTTATTGTTCATTCTTTAGGTGCTACAGAACAAGCCTTACCTTGTGTTGATGGTGACATTTGGTAGTGGGATAGGCCTTTTTACATGCCTTCAAACACTTCTGGAGCAAATAATCTGCCCACAAGGATATAGTGATGTTAGTATGAATCTAGTGCTAAAACACATTAAGTATATTAGCTTTTTTCGTGTGCCCAGCATGATCTTGGACCCTTATCAGGGTAGAAAGTTTATTATCGTTATCGTTATCGTTATCGTTATTATTATTATTATTATTATTATTATTATTATTATTATTATAAAGTTCATCAAACTCTTGAGTATCTGAAGCAATGTAAAAAAGGTAAAAATTCAGTGTATATTAGGTGGCTTTCACTTATTATCATGACCTGGTATTTTAAAAGATGGATAATCCTATATCCGCCAGATAAATCACTTCTACTGGTTAAGAGTAGTTTGTTTTGCTAGCCCTGATCCACTGGGTGGTGATACATGTAAGACTTAATACCAATCAGTAGGTGAAGCTTTGCATAGTAGTGTATGGACACTACTATGCATTGCACTACACTTTTCAACAATAAGATTCTGAGCTCAAGATTTCTATCTCACGATAGTTTGCACCCTTGTCCACCATCACGCATAGAAATCGAGACAGAATAATTGAATGGTTTTAGTATAAATCTACTGGCTAAATCCTCTTCACAGACACTTCGAAAATGCAAAGAAGAGGCCTCCATGCATTTTGATAACAAACACACACTGCCAGACTACCTACTGTCAACAACAGAATAGAGAGAGACTCAGAGAACGGCATTTGTGATAGAACGCTATTAGATTTATACAAATAATGTATATTATAGAGTCTGCCAAATGAAGTTTGGAGAGCTGGGTATAAGTGACAGAGTTTTCTAGAGCCACAGCTGAGAGCAGTTATAGTTTCTTGAGTGCACTCCAAAATACCCAGAGCAAGAGCAAAATGAATTAAGCCTTATGTGCTGCCAAACTGTATTAGGTATTTACCATACCATTTTCAGCCATACATATGTGTAGATGTAGCCATCTCAGGCTGTGCTTGTTTCAGGACTTGGCTGGCATAGCAGGTGCTGTCTTGATAGCAACTGGGCTTGTTGGAGGTGGACTGGCAGGTGTCTATGTTGACAAGACCAAGAAGTTTCAAGAAACGGCTAAAATTTCATATGGATTAGCAGCCATATCCTGCTGCTTGCTCGCAATAGTAAGTAGGACCTTAAGTTCAACCTTAAAAAAATTCTGCATGGCTTTCACTTTCACATATTTTGTGCAGTTTCATAAAATATCCATATACCCTCACAGAAGGGATTGGAATTTCNGGGGGGTCTCTAAGCTGAGGGGGATACAGGATGTTACAGAATGGGGTTCAAGATACTGTAAGGATGTCTGAGGGCATCCTCCCCAAGAAAATTCTGAGTCAGTGTGTTACAATGTTTCATCTTTTTAATTTAGGGGATTCAAGTGAACTCCCCAAACCTTCTAGATCTGCCCCAGCTAAGATCAAAAGAACTTAAGGAAGTGTATGAAGCTTAATTGGAATTTCCAGAGGGGTAAGGGTCTTGGGAAAAATCCCTTCATGGGGGAGGTATGGATATTTTTTGAACTACACATTCTGTTTAACTTTCCTTGTGCTGTCTTCTTTTGTAGGTAACTCAGTTTCCAGGCTACCCTACTCTTGTTGTAGCTACCTGTGGTTTGTTTGGCTTTTTTGCATTTGCTCTCATGCCTGTTTGCTTGGAAGTTGGAGTGGAATGTACCTACCCTGTGGCTGAGGCGACGAGTGCAGGACTACAGTGGATGGCAGGGTAAGGTCATTGTAGTTTGCTGAAAACTTTAGCAACTAAATATACATGCAAAAATTTCAGCGTGTTGATTGCCTGCATTTATGTCAATTAATCCCAAACAGTGTAGAAAGTTGATAAAATAGAGTTCAGAAAGTTCAAATTAAATTGCTCGTATATTATTAAAAAGTAATCAAATGATTTTTAACGTGCATTTTGGAATAAAATAAGCACTTGTAAATTTGTCCAGCACTGCACATTGCACTCACCCTACAGCTGGCTCATGTAAATTTTTTTAGAATTTGAAAACATACTTGTGCTTAGTTATTCCAAATTGTGCTCAAAACCATTTGATTACCTTTGCAAAAAATAATATTACTGTAACTTCTCTTTCATTTTTTCCCCTTTCAGACAAGCTACTGGAGTGGTCTTCATATTAGGTTGCCAAGCATTAGAGGTTCGTAAGCATTTTGAGTCTGCAAAGTGCCAGGACATCTCAGATGATGGCAAAGTCCCAGATCTTCAATATGCCATGTATTTCATGATGGCAGCTGCTGTTGCCATGGCATTTCTCATAATCTGTGCATTCCATCCTCCGTACAAGCGCCTGGACATGGAGAGGAGAAAAGCAGCACAAAGAATTCTACAAGGAAGTGCTCACCAGAGACTGCCAGCTATACCCAGTCCATCTGATTCAGACCATACACATTCGCCAGAGGGATAAACTCCTTTGCATGTCACTGGAGAATTATAAATTCATAGTGAATTCAGTTCTTATGCTATGATTATGCAGTTGCTTGACCTAAGGTAGATTTCAGGCCAAGTCGCGACTCACGCCGTAGGCAGAGATTAAAGTTAAAGAGATTTAAACGCTTTTACAAGATTACTACATATAGAGGTAGTCCTTTTAGGCCAGTAAGGCGTTTTAGTCAATGAAAAAATCCCAGAGAACTTGAGTCAAATGTGTTCTCAAAAAAGCGACGATTACATAAATTTAATTTAAAAGAAGATTGTTAGAATGTCGTTTGTTTTGGAATGGAACCGAGAATGGAATTGAAGTGAACTAGGTGACTCATGAAGTTATGGGTCAGTTATACATTTTTTCCAAAATTAAATTACATGTATTGTTAACCGTTTCTTTAGATTGTTGTTATAAATTCGGTAATTTCGTACTGCAAAGCGTACCAGCATGAGTATTCCTGGAATTTAAGTTTGGCGTCCGTTTTCTCGTTTTCTTTTTTTTTTTTTTGGTGATTTTACGTGAACGGTTAGTCTAACGGTTATTGTATTTACAGTTCATATTTCTTTGGTAAGAAGTTAACCGTAAACCTCTTAAAAGAGAAAGTGAGTAAAAATGACTGATCAATATGTGGTTTCCAAAACGTCGAGCAGCTCGCAGTTTTGGTGAAAGAAGAGGAATATTTAACTATTATTCCACCAGCGCGCGTAGCGCCGAGTTGGCTATAATCATTTCATAGTCTATCTAACAAGCGCAAGTGGAATAATTGTTTCATTTAAAAACCGCCCCCAAAATATAGAAACTAAACTAAAATAAACATAAAAACGTCCCCAAAAATCACGCGTACGCTTACCATATTTGTAGAGCATGGTATAATGGCTCATAACATGATGGTTAAGCCAATGAAAACTCTTGGATTGCATTATCCAGCGATCCAGTTTTTAATAAAAAAAACAATAGTCAATTTGCCTCTGTGTCAAAAGGAGTCTTCGCGCGAAACTGTTCAACAGTAGACGGCGCAGGGCTTGATTGGTCCCACAATTCCACGGAAACCAAGCACAACAACAACAACAACAAACAAACAACAGAAAACAACAATCTTTGTGCTCCTTACATATATTAGAAAAATAACGTTAAAGACCTATTTAAGAGTTACACACAATCAAGAACTCTGCTACACTATTTTGTAAAACTACAATAAAAAATGGTAGAAAGGCTGTACAGAATACCTCATAACAAAGATTTAAGGGTAATGTAAAAATGTTTAAAATTTTATCATTTTATCTTTCCATCTTAGCCCTCTAAAGTGCTGTGTTTTTTGCCTTTGCTATATTTGTTCATTACCGCGCTCGTTAGCTCGCTATCGTTATCGTTGTCTTGTCCTGTCCCGTCCCGTCCCGTCCTGTCTTGTCCGTTTGACCAGGGTTTAAAGCCCTGGTCAAACGGACTCGCAAGTAGTCGCAAGTAGCCACAAGTTGAATTTGCGTAGAGACTTGCGTTGGGTGGCCAAAAGGACCCGCAAGTTTCCTAGCAAGTACAAGCAGGTCGCAGCCATATCCTGCATTTCATTGGCTAATAATAAGTTAATGGACGTCACTCAACTTGCGTTGATTTGGGTTGAGTGGCCAAACGGTGAAAAACTTGCGTCGACCTGCGTGCAAATTAATCTCGACCAAAGTGAGCGCAAGTCATCGCAATTCAACGCATGAGTGCACGCAAAGCCTGGCCAAACGGAGTCGCAAGTAGACCCAAGTTTTCAACTTGCGTCTACTTGGGAGTCCGTTTGCCTAGGGTTTACAAGCGTGCTCTTGGTTTCTTGTTTGTTTATTACGTTACTGACTAGTGCGCTCTTTCGTTTGTGTTTGATTATTACGTTACTGACTAGTGCACTCTTTGTTTTGTGTTTGATTATTACTTTAATCAAAACTATAACAAATTTCTCGAACGTGATTGGCTATCAGCAGCCCGATTTGAGCATTAATTGGACAGTGTACGCGTCATGCTTGTNTGTAATCATACTCGTGATTAACAAATTGGACTCCCGCTTCGCGGTTGTCCGATTTTGTTAATCACTCGTATGATTACAGACCGAATTGGACTCCACTCAGTCCTATTACCATTATTAATGACTAGTATGCTCTTTTTTGTGTGTTTGATTATTACGTTAATGACTAGTACGCTTTTGGTTTTATAACATCATTGACTTGAAAGCCCGGGTAGGGGACTCCCATGTAAAATGGACGGGGTTGCTCGTCGTACCTTTAAGTGGGAGAAAAGCCAGCTGTTTTTGGTACCGTTTTATGGTGTTCAGCCTCAAAAGGTCCTCAGCGGTTGTTTTCGCGGTTGCTTTTGAACCAAAAAAAATTTCTTCAGAAGATATTTGACCACTGACTGAGTTTTTGAGTCGTCTTCTTTACAATCGTCTTCTTCGCTGTTTAAAGTTATAAAAGCGTCAGTAAATTTGTTGTTTTAGAATTGGTTCCTGTAAGGGGTGAAAAAAATTTAAAGCTACGCCCACAAAACAGGATTTTAATCTTGCTATTTCTAAGGTTAGGCGATTCTTCACAAATGTCCGACTGGCACCTTCGGCCTTTATATAGCGTATTTTATTCTTAGGATTTTAACTTTTAGGATTTAGGATTTTAGGTTTTTAAAGAATTAGGATTTTAATTTTAAAGTATTGTAAAGCGCCATGGACAATTAGTGGAAAATGGCGCTATATAAATGTATATTTATTTATTTATTTAAATATGGGACCCCACCCCCACCCTCCCCCGCCTCCAGGCTGATTTTTTTGTGTTATTCAGTCTTTGTTTTTTGCTTGAATTGTTGCGCCGCTGACGTATGCCTGAAAGACAGTACAAAGATTCTTATATGAAGTATTTACTCACTGAACCTCTTGTCATCAGTTTTCTTCTTCCATGAAAACGAGAGTTGCTTGACAATAGCAAGATGGATAGAGCAAGTTTTAAAAAGCTCGGAGATTGTTCGTTGACTCTGGCAGGTCTTGCGGGATTACAGCTTCCATGCTTAGTGTCTGCAGCATCGCCCTCATCTCCCCTGGCTAAATTGAAGTCCCTTGGTTTCCCGTTCAATATGTCGGCAGGAACATTGAATGAGCACTTCTCTTTTTCTCCTGAAAACCTGCTTCAAGGACGATATCACACTCTTGTAACGAATCTTTTTAACCATAATGGTAAGGTTCACTTTTGCTTAAATCAAAATGATGACTTGCTCGATCGTGTTCTTCACTTGGTTACTCCCCAACCAGAATTAAAGTCGATTAGCCCTCACATTCACGTAAAGAACGAGAAATAGACAGTGTTTTCGACTTCTGGCTGGGGGCTAAACGATTAGGGGCTAATGTACCGGTTACTCTTCTGCTCTGTTCTTCTGGTTTTTAAAGTTAAGCACTTTTTTTTTTACAATAACTAGAAATTCTTGGGCACTCATTGGCTAATTTTCAATGTCAATAAGCGAACAGACACATGAATTTATAATTTGTGATGCATCGACGAGCGAAAGTGGAAAATGTAACAATTTGTTATTGTTAAAAAGCAAATTGACATCAGTTTTTCATGCGTCAGTCCTGTTATTGACGATGAATTTTGTCATAACATTGTCAAAGTAGTCTCAGCTATCGCTTCGTGGAACCACAGCTACTTTGACAATGTTGTGACAAAATTTGTAATCAATAACAGGACAGATGCATGAAAAATGGACATCAGTTTGTTACATTTCAATATTATCTCACATTATTTTGATACTGAGTGTTCCAATTAGTTTAATAGCTGTATATATCCCATAGTCACTAGCTTTCAGTCAGTCAGTCCCTCCATCTGCCATCATTTAATTTAGTCAGTCATTTGTTTACTCAACCACTCAAAGTTTAGACTTTTTGATATTATCAATATTACCGTAATTTCCGGCAGTTTACCCGCACGGCAGATTACCCGCACCGGTCATTTTTTGCCAAAATGAGAAAAAAGATTCAGCAGATTACCCGCACTGGGTAAAAATTAACGCATTACCCGCGGGTAATCTGCCAGAAATTACGGTATCAATATATATCACTCTGGCCAATCACAAAGGAGACATACAGTCCAGTGGACTAAATGATCAAAACTCAAAGCGAATACATGTAGCTGATGTGAAGTGCTAGAAAACATGTGCAAGTGTGGTTGTTTTTATTCCATAGATGAGCAACATCTATTCAACAATATGACTGTGCTTATACCAAATGGATACCATGTCCATAGACGATTTGGGCGTAAGCATCTATTGGCGGCATTCCTTGGGGGAGGTATTGCTGGAAATCTCTCTCAACTTTGGTTTTACATTTTCCATCAGATCCAGTGGGGGGCTGTTTTACCGTCACCAAAGTCTTGGGGTATTCTTGGCGATTTTCTTGGAAACAAAGCTGAAATTTGGCAGAAGTTTGCACTGGATAAAGTTTTCACTTCAGTCCATAAAACAACACCATGCAGGGGTGCTAGTGCTGCAATTTCCTCCATTGTTGCTATCGAGACTTGTGCCAATATTGTTTCATTGTATGACAAGTACAAAGAACTAAGAAGACGACGGGAACTAAGGATTGCAGATGATGAATGGGATAATCGCATGATGAAAGAAGTGCTTTATGAAGTATGCCATTTGTGGTTTGTGATCAGCATTTTACTGGCTGATTTGATCCCCTTGTTTGACAGTACAAGGACTAGTAAAGGAGTCTTTGACACTCTTGTTGCCTACTCATCAGATGGGATAGGCCATGCCGCACATATTGGTGGCTTTTTATTTGGCATGGTCTATTATTTGGTTGTGCTATCAGGTTACAGAAGGGACAATAGGTGATAAATGTGCATGACATAATAATGTCAACATCTTGGGATCCCCATAGAAGTTGCAGTCAGAGTAAACTAAAGGAGTTCATAATTTACAGTAATATGGGAAAGAGAGGGAGCTTCCTTTCCTCCTTGAACTTAGCCTGACTGAGTACACAAAACTTGTACGACAAAGCTTGTACTACTTAGTTGCACTACTTGAAAAGTCACATTCAAGCATTTCTTCCAGACTTCAAAGTTAAAGAGTGTTGAAAATGTCTGTCTAACCCCAGTTGAAATAGGCAGACTGAGAGCAGTCTGCTTGGGATAAGCATAACCAGTAGCATAAAATAGCAGGTACAGTGGAACCCTGCATTACAGTCACCTTGTTATTTACAGTCACCCCATTACTACAGCCACATTTTTTGTCCCAGCGAAACACTCGTGCATTTTCTAAAGAGAAAATTTGGTTAATGTGGCCAACCTGTTAATACAACTTATGGCCACATTCTGAAATCCCAACCTTTGTTTATAATTTACCCTTTTTATATGGCCACTCAAACTAGTTACGTTCATTTTTCCATTGTTATTAATTGCATGTAGTGAGTGAAGTTTAATTTGTTTTTAAAATTATACCTGCATCACAGATATGTATCAAAGAATAGTTGCTCAGAAGTGCAATTGTGATATATCTGTTAAGACATCACCCAATTTAGACCAGTCATGAAAGTTGACACTACCCCATTAATACGGCCACCCAGTTAGTACCGCCAAATTTTCATGGCCCGTTGGTGATCCTATTGACAGGTTCCACTGTATGAGACAGTGTTTAAATCAGATTTCCAGACATTGAGAAGAGAGCTGAAAACATGATGTACAACGGAATGTTTTGATGGCATTGACACAATTTTAACATGGTGTTAGGAAATAGAATAGCAAATGGACAACCATTGCTTTCAACAGGGTTTGAAATAGATGATGCCCTAGTGCAGCACCTCTCAGAGAGCAATAAGAGAACCATAAAAACGTCCTTTGCAGCTGGGCCAGTTTTTGAAAAAAGCTTATGATATAGCTGGTGATCCAGAACAGCCTAACCACTGAAGTTCTGACAGGTGCCTTGGGCCCATTTCTTGAAAGCCCCGGAATCTTTTCAGGCCTGATAAGCCATTTTTAGTTAATCGGTATTTAAAGACAGAGAGTTGTATACACCTGAAACGTCTTGTATGAAGAGAATTTCTGTTCGTATTAAGAATATATGAATAAAACAGCTCTATAGTCAAAAGGTTTGAAATTTTGCTACAGCTTTTTGGGGCAAAAACTTTTTGGGACCTTTGAGAAACAGACCCCTGGTCTTATTGAAGACACTAGACAAGTGTTTTAACAATGTCTTCTCAATCAAAAAGAGGCATGATGGTTGTTGAAAATCTCTCTCCAAGCTCAGTTTTGTAAGACAAAAGAGATTTAGTGTGACCTTGAATATAAAGCATAATTTTTATTTTCAATGTGTTACCTTAAGTTTTCCCAGTTTCAGCTTGCTCTAATCAAATTTTGATCATAACTTAACTGTAGTATGACAAGGCTGTCATTCATTCCACAACCCTTGTATTTGAAGAAAATTTGCTAAACTTCATGAATAAAACTCATAGCATGAACCCACAAGTAGTCTAAGCTAAATAACAAAAACCTCCACCTATAGTTGCTTATAATATTACTTAACCTGAGTGAGGTTTTGCTTACAGCTTTCTTTGAAATATGGCTTTAAAGGTGCACAGTTTAGCCCTCTGTAGTCACTCACTTAATGTGGGCACCTAATCATAGCAGACAGTGCTTTAGTCTGGCTTTCTGCTACATTTTTAATTGTACTAATTATACATTATTACACATCAGAAATACAGACTGACTGTTGTCCCTAACCAATCAAACGAAAGAGTTGAGTAACAAATACTTGATGAAGGTGTGGTGTTGTAGCATTAACAACAAGGATTGCAATGAAATAAATCAAATTGTCATTTATTTATCTCTCAGGTAGGTTTACATAATTTACAGTTCTGACAACTTCAGGGAGCAGTACACCATAGTAACAACTGAGCAAATCCATTTTGAATTTCATTAACTTTGCTAGTTGTGAATTGTTTTGCAATATAATCTGGGAACACTCTAAAATCTTGTGAGGGATACATGTATATGTACTGGTCTATGTACAGTTACATTTGAGCCTCTTGACAGGAAGTCCCTCCTAACTGAACCTTTGTAACAATTTGTTGAATAGCTTGTAACAAGAACAGAGCTAATAATTCTGCAATGAATGGGAATTTCTATTGATTCATATCCAGGCCTTCAGTCAGTGCCATTTTCTTGCTGCTCTGATCAAAATGAATTAAGATAATTATTTCAATAATCAAAAAAATGGTACTGAATGATCCATTCCTCACGACTTGTTAGTTGAATATATCACAACAATGCACTGTCAGTACATATCAGTTTTACCTGCAAAAAGAAAATATAACTTGCTAAATTAAAACAATATGTACAAAACAGGCAATTTAAAACTATTTTAAAGGGTTATACATACACTCAGCTTAAATCTATGGTATTCTGTAGAATTAAAAACAACTTCACCAGTTTGTTTCATTGTTTTTTTGTTTCCATTCAACCGAGATTAGTGAGTTAACCCACATAGCAAGGTTGGTAAATTATGATCGGATATCATGACCAAGCACCAAAATGACTTAGCTTTCAGTCATGAAGGTCTTGTTTGTAAACCATGTTTGCTTTGAAACATGTTAAAAATCACAGATCATACAGATCTGTGGTTTATTGCTAAGCATTCTAAAATAAAGATTACAAAGGACACATGTCCTGTATGTAATAAAAGTTATTTCCAGATCTGCAGTTTAGTGATCTCAGGTAAGTACAGTACCTTATTTTAAAATTTGTTAGTATACATCTCTGCCACCCCATTCTTTGATCATTGCCTTTAATACACTTAATTCTATTTCTGGTCCAATGAGAGGATTAAGTTGACAGAAATAAGCACAAACCCAGCTAGAAAACAAGTTAAGGCAAGTTGATACCTGATACAAATTTTATGTGATAAGGTTAAACATTTTATGCCTTTATAATTATTCAAATCAGATAAGTTTTGATGCTTCAAATTATGATACTGTCGATGAGATAATGAAGAAAAAAATAAAACAAGCTGGAAAAAAACAGCACTTAAAATTTACATATTAACAATTAATTTGTATACAATGATGTTGAATTTATAAAGGTTGCATGAAAAGTGGTTCCACTTTTTGTGTGAATTGTTAAGAGTATTTCGAGGAAATGTCTTTCAATTCCAAATAATGTAAAAGCAAAGAAAAACTGTGTAGGGCGTGTTAGGGGGTTACATTTGGAGCACCACTCATTATTGACCTGTGGGAGATTATGATGTTGTTAAATAGGCCACATCCGATATATCAATATTCCGACATGGCTCCAAGGTTTTCAGAACAAACTTCTATTATTTGGTGGTGTTTTCTTAGTATCCAATTCTTTATTGGGGAGCAGCAAAAATTGAACTTATGACTTTGTTATGGCACCATTGTGCTGTTCCAGAAAATATCCACACTCCCCCAAAAGAAGGGATTGGAATTTCCTGGGGTGGAGGGTTCTGAAGGATAAATAAATTTGAAGAAATGTATGAAGTTTAATTGGAATTTCCAGAGGGCTGAGGGGGATCTCCCTTCCATGCGGGAGGTATGGATGTTTTCTGGAACTACATGTACACTTTGTCGACACCAGAAACGTGTTTGCAAATGAAACAAAGAAAAGAAACAATTTTCACTAGATGACAAGGCGCTACTGTTAAGAATGTTGATATCGTTTTGTGTGCCACTGTAAGGTTTGAAATTCTTAAAAGGATACAATAACCAACAGCATACAGCAGTCAACACAAGCATGGTTTGTATGAGTCTGAAATCATAGTAATGAGAAAAACAAATTTAATCATATTGATCTAAATACAAACCTCAGTTCAACTACATTGTGTCTACCCAGTTAACTATTGGGGTGATGAGGTTGATGGTGGAGAGAGTTCATTCTTACAGTTTCATAATTGCCAATTTTGCGTAGAGAAAGTTTTTGGTGGCGGTTGAGAGGGTAACAATCAACCTTTGATTAGATCTCTAACAGAAACCTCGTTACAAGTAAACCTTTTAGTCGTATTCATTTTAATAAGTTTCGTAGTTAGGTAAGTTATGAGATTCCAAATAAGCTTGTAACTTAATTTTGAGTCTGGATATTCAGAGCTAAGTGTATACCTTACTAGGTAGTTAATTTTGTTTAGTTTGAGATTTACTCAATTCCATTTACCTCTTGTTCGGTCCTCTGACAAACCAAGGAATAACTCCACCTACAATAACCCATATTCCTGTGACAACAATCACAGGAACTACTGCCATAGGCTTTGCTGCACCATCGCCCGCCATGTTGAATAATTTTGAAGAAACATCAGACAAGTCACATGAGTTTCGGGTGTCCACCTGAAAAGGATGATGGGGGATTCGTCCCAACCTCTCTCGTGATCCTCATTTCAACATGGCGGACGAAGGATGTCGTTCTGCAGTATTGTTAATTTGTGGAATACCCGCTTCTGGAAAGTCGACATTTGCCACAGAGTTACAACGGTACATGCAGAAAACCAAAGGCGATTCTGTACACACGATATATGTGTGTTATGATGATTTGATTCCGTCCGATTTGGATGTACATGGCAGTCCTAGAAGCGTTGCAAAACAACTTCAGAACGATTTGGAAGAGAGGACCGATGACAACAGTGTTGAAAAAGACGAGGGATCGCCTTTCGGTGGTTCTATAAACCCTTCCAAATATTCCTTATGGAAACAATTTAGGAAGCTTATCCTCGAAGCGGTGGATAAAATTATGAATATGATAGAAAACAATTTAAACAAAGATGAAACAGACGGGCCAAAAACAGAAGTGGAAGAACTAGAGATGAAAGGGTTGCCCACTTTTCAGGACTTTTGGAAATTTTTTCTGAAAAGTATATCCAGGCAGGAAAGAAAGTGCTCTTGTATTGCTTCGAATGACTGGAGGTAAAAACCGAAAAAAAAAATTAGTTCAGCTTGTTTTTTATTTTTGAGTGGATAAGAAATGCTCTTAGAGCTCGGTTTTTTTTGTGCTAAAATTGGATTGAATTGAATTTCGTTCCCCCTAAAACAGAACCTCAAATACTGACAGAAAAAAAGTATCTGGGAGTGTCAATTTTAACTTCCACCACCCCCACTCCCTCCTGGTTCCCCAAGTACTTGGGTGTCCCTGTTGTGGTTTAAACCCTATCACTTAAAATTATCAGGTTGAAAAATATAGACAATCTAGCTATGGGGTATGGTGCATTCAATTGCATCATGCAAGAAGTGTTCTGAGAAGATCACTTGACTACCCTCATGTCACCCCCTTGGCTAGGTCATCTATATTCTCCCAAACAGATAGATAGAAACTGGTTTGGGTCAGGTCAGTCAGGTCATTGATTTTGCCCAAGTATTCAAGTGTTTTTCCTGTAAATCCAACAGAATTAGTTGTTGACATTCCATGACAATTTATTATCATTACTCTCCTACTTACCCCCCCTCCCCCCAAGAAAAAACAATACTGACAATGGTTTGAACTGTGGAGGATTCCAGAAACAAACACCATTCTTGTGGCTCCTTTTGGGACGTCTGTTTGTGGAAGGTACAGGCAAGGTCTGTCTAAGGATAAAATCTACACCCAGGAAGTAGAGGTTTTCAACTTTCTTGGTCAATACAATATAGATGTGAACCTTCACTAATCCACAGGGCATAGTTACTAACTATGCGCAGGGTCAGCACTGCTTCATGACATTCCCTTGTTTTGTACTTGAGGGTAACTACAGTAGCCTGCTAAGGTCAGGTCATAAAAAAGACAAGTGACATGTTATGTGTGTTGCCATAGGTGGAATGGTTGTCCTCATGTTATATTAGTGGATGATAACATGTTTTATCACAGCATGCGGTACGAGTATGTCCAAATGGCAAGAAAATGTAAGTTAATTGTTTTTTGTCCCACTATGCTTTGAATGAGATTTGGTAGATTGAGCCTGATGCATTTGGAACGTTATACCTTAGCACTTGAAATACATTAATTTTACTTCTTCCATTTTCTGATGGAACTGTTTTTGGTCCAGAAGGGTCAGTTTTTCACCGCTTGCGTGATCAGGAGAGGTTAGTCCTAAGAAAGGACAACTCACTAACTCACAGGGCAGCTCTGACACTAACAACAGTCCTTTTCACATCAGCAATTACCCAGATGGCTACATAAGATGACCTTGCGGCTTCGCCGCCAATACAAAAGCACTTGCACATGAAATCCCGCCAGCTACGCAGGCTACCTTAACTGAGAATTGCATTTAAGCAGTTATTGTTTTCTTTTAAGGAAGACAGTGCTGGTTTTGCAGAAGTGTTCTTGGAATGTTCACTTGAAATTGCCGAGGCACGAAACAGCTTAAGGAGCCATCCAGTTGCCTCAAACACCATGAGGAATATGTTAAGTAAAATGGAACCCCCAGAACCTGACAAGTTTCCTTGGGAACAGTACAGTCTTACTATAAAAGCTGAAGAAGAACTGGATGTTGAAATAATGTATGTATTAGTTTAAATGCATGTGAAAAATAAATATTGCACTGAAGAGATGGGGATTTGCCAGGTTACTTAGTCTATATTCTTCTGGGATGTGTGGTCTGTTATGGTTATTGGACAGAAAAAAGAATGAAACACAATTTCATTCTCAGTATTAATTGTCAAGAAGATATCAATGAATGAATCAGGCAATCATAAGCTTGAGCTTCTGAGGACAGTTCTACAGTTGTTCAGACTGAAACAAAAGGCAAATTTCTTTACTCAGTTTCTTTTTCTGTCGAATGAAATGTCAGTAGTAATAAATTATGAGTTACTAGGCAATGGCAAAGGTAATAAATACAGACATTATCTGATAGTTTGTGATGACCTTTTTGTTCATAGCTGTATTTATTTGAGTGAACTGTTTTGACATGACATGTCTGTTTGCTATTTGTGTGATAAAAAGGCTTACATCCTAAAACCTGATGACAGCTTTTTCTTAACATTAGGGAAAGTGTCGCCCGTCTTGCTACTGAAGTTCTAACGCACCCAATGCTTCAGGCTGTTGAAGACATTGAAGAGAAGGTTGGAAATAAATATCTAGTTGCAAGGTTGGATTAAACAGGACCTAAGCTTGCAAACTTGTTTGTTTGATCTGCTGTTTAACCTGTTTTCTCTGACATACACTTTTAGACTAAGGAACGTCTCACAGTCTTTTATCTGAATATGGCTTTAACACAATATATTTTACCAGCATGAATAAATATTGGATTGTGTAATAGCAAGTGCCAGGGAGGACCTTAAGTTCCTGAGGAGATAGAAGATAGCTGATATTTTCAGAGGGTGTTTTGTCAGAAAGAATGAATCTTCAGTCTAAATAGTTATTTGCCTTTCATTTTCTCTTGTTTTCTTTGTGACAGGAGAGGTCTAGAGCAGCTTGCATTACAAGTATAGTGCACCAGGCTGATCAAGTTCTTAGAAAGTATATAGCTAAGCTCATTTCTGAGGCAAAAGGTTAGTACACGTATATACTGACAGTCATGATAATAGTATTTCTTCTAAGTTTAGTTTTCTTAATACTGAACCATAGGTATAGAATGATATGATCTAACTTGAGGTTATTGAAAACGTTGGCACACTTTACAGGCCTATGGTACAATGTAATACAGTAGAACCCCGGTAACTTGAACTCGAATAACTTGAATTCCCGCTAACTCGAACCAAATCCCATTTTCCTTGAATTTGACCCCACTTTTCAGACATTTTAACTTGGTTAACTTGAACTCGGATAACTCAAATTCCCCGCTAACTCGATCTAAATTTCGTTTCCCTTGATAAAAGTTTACCCTGATAACTCAAATTCTGGTTCATGTAACTCACCAGGGATGTCATCCCATTAGCTTATCTTGTTGTGTAATCAGTAAAAACACTCAAAACTAACACCACAGCAATTTGATTTTAATTAGTGCAACCGAGCATTCACATATTTGACAATCATTAGTCATACTGGATGCGGTGCCTTTAGCAGTCACTGTATACTGAAGTGCTGAAAAATCAGCAAACTATCAATTATTAACTTGGCAAGTTGGATATTCAATCGACCCCGATAACTTGAACCCCTGCTAACTCGAACTTGTTCATTTCCCTTCAGATTTCGAGTTACTGGGATTCTACTATAGTGTTATAGGTATGCAATGCATGCAGAGGGTACGTAGCTGTATTCCTTGGCATGCGTTGCAGACCTATGATATTTGGTTACCTCTCAGTGGTGCAAAACATCGAGATTGTTCTGGACCAGATACCCTGAAGTGGTAAAGCACCTAAAAGTCACCTAGTGTTACAGGCACGCAATGCGTGCAGAAAGTTATGTTAGTCATTTGCATGCATTGCAGGCCTATGGAATTGCCTAATTGCATCATAAGATAACTGTAGCCCTTTGCTTGCAATGCATTCCTTTAGTACAACATTAAATAGTATAGCCAAAGGCTGAAAACACAGTCTTTGTAAACCTTTCAGGTTTACGCACACACGTTTCACTGGGAAACTCAGAAAACTGTGAACACCACAAATATTTGTAGAATGTTATTGTGAAGCAAGAAAAAAGCCAGCCAGGCACGAGAAAACAAAACTGCAAACAGCAGTGGTAACTAGTTTGACCTTTTGAGGTTTGCTCGCATGTCCTGAACATTATTGTGATTAGTCAGTACACAATTATCGACCTGTAAAAATCAAAACAAAGTGTTCACCGTTTTTTGACTCGCAGAGTAATTATTTGGCTTTTCTCAATAATGCAGGTAGCGGAAAAGCAAAGAAAGAACTTCAGTCTATAGCAAGCCAGTTGAACAGGGATAAAAAAGTCTTTCTGGAAAGCCTACACAATATCACGAGCAACTCTGAATGCAGCAGCAAAATGCACAGCAATAGTACAGATTCAACAGTAAACAAGACATTTGAAGGGGTTATTTCAACAAGTGACAGTTTTACTGAAAGACAACCAAACGAACATTCAAAGAAATCACCCTATTTGACTGTTGTTCACAATGACAGTGCCAGCGTCGGAGAAAATGATGTAAAGGGCTGTTTTGTGAACTTCATGGTCAAAGATGTACATTCTGCTACTTCCATATCACACCTATGTCTTCAATGTTTTCCAAATGTTGAGGACAAAGCAGAATTTAAGTCATTTGTAGAAGAACTGTTTAAGGGCACTGTTCATGTATAGGCACAAGTTAAAAATAAATTGAGATCAACAAAGCAATATGAAATTACGACATAAACAACATTGTCAAGTCATTTTAAAACTCTGTTTTAAAGAAAATGCTTTGTTTCCAAATGTTGAGGACAAAGCAGAATTTAAGTCATTTGTATAAGAACTGTTTAAGGGCACTGTTCACGTATAGGCACAAGTCAAAAATAAATTGAGATCAACAAAGCAATATGAAATTAAGATGTAAACAACATTGTCAAGTAATTTTAAAACTCTGTTTTAAAGAAAATGCTTTGCCCTTGTAGGTTTTATTAGTCATTGCAAAAACTGAACTCCTGCTAATAAAAAGACATTTCTCAGATCACACCTGTTTTTCTTGGTTTCTTATTTATACTCTGACAGCAACTTTTAAACAACAACATAACAATGCTTAGTTAGAAGTTAATAATTAATGCAAAATTTGTGCTAACCACAAACTGGGAGCCTTAGCAACAACTTTCTATAGTTAACAGTTTCATCCCCATAACCATTGTGATGTCAGTCACAGAACACTAAAAGTCAATGGATGTCGTTCTAACTTGCAAGTCTGACCCATCAAACTTAGAATTCTAACTTAAACTTTAAATTATTTTTTTGTTGAAAACCTGTATGAATAATCATTATTCAATAAATGCTATTGAGCAGACTTTTTCCTGCAGTGTTGCTTGTTTTCTGAGATTCTGCAAATTGTTCTTGGCTATATTATTTTCAAATCAGGTCCATCCTGAGCCTGCAATTTTAAGTACCCTTTCTTTTAAGGGATCGTTTTGCAACTTTGTCCAGCACACAAAACTTCAAATGGCAACTCCCCATTCTTTCAGACAAGTTTCGCAGGTTTTCATAAAATGAAAACTTTTTATTATGTGCCATGCATATAGGTGAGAGTAGGCCTTTAAAACAATGATAGCGGCAAAGACAAATGACAGTGTATGTGATAACTTGCGTTTGCAATTAAATATCTCATAATTTCTCCTCTGAAATATTACTTCACCCCGCCCAAAAATGAACACGTTGAACTGAACATCTGCCAAAGTGTTACCTGGGTTGATGCTCAGGTTTCTGGCAAATGAATAAGATTTTAAAGAATGGACTAACAGTTTTTTTTTCTTCTTTTTCTAAACTCAAATGATGGTGCACATCACATCAACACAACAGAGATGTTAGGGAAGGGGACAGGGTGGGGAGGTGGAGGGGGCAGCAATGACCCAGCATAACTTTCAGGCAGGTCTCAGCAAATAACTGGAATCCTAAGCCTGACTGTTTCTAAAGCGCCTGAAACAGAAGGAAAACAACAACATTAGAAATTGTTAAAAGTATGACTGCTTACTTTTTTCTCCAAGCAGAGGCGCCATGGAGAGAAAGGTCAGAATTGTGATCTAATGATAGTAATCATTTAATACCTTCTCGCATTTTCTAACATTTCTTTCTTTCTTTGACTGAGAAGTTTTTGCCTTTCATCTGGAAGGCGTGAAAATGTTATTGTCTGTGGTCTGGTTGGTGTTGTCTGGAAGAGAAGAGAATTGTCAGAGTCAAACAGAATGCTGGAATGTTGTTGCATATTTAGCAGTATCTCATGGCAAATGAATGTGTTGAACATTTTGTTTAGCAACAATTTCAGTTGTCCTTGTTGCACCATGGGACGCTTAAGGCCTCAAAGATATTAATAATATCGTACCACTCTTGTCTTCTTGGTCTATACTGAAGTTACAGATCCTCATTTCCCCTTTTGATTTATGGCCTTTGTTCTTGGGTCATAAATTGAAGGAGAAAAAGTGAGGATCTGTAACTTTCCATAATTATATAGTACCTTGAACTTGGTTGGTTTATTGGCAGTGCCAAGTTCTCTTTATTATAGAACCAAACCCATCAATACAGAGAATTAGTTATTTAATTTTAAAATAATCATTGTGCTTGGTACTGAAATTGTTGAAGATGCCACCCTACCTCACTAGAAAGTCCTGAAGAAGTACTTTGAACATCACTAGTTGATTTGGCCTCATTTCCTTCTTTCTCTGGTATATAACTAACTCTTCCCTCCAGAATGTTGGTAATGGTTGTGTCAACGCAGTGTGTACGGCCTTTGTTTACAAACAAAAAATTAAACTGAGGTTTACATTAATTGTTTTTCTTTTCATTTATAAGTACGAAATGAAACTAGTAGAAAACTGTTTGACAATAGACCCTTTGCATAAACAGTGCCAATATTTGAATAACAGTACTTATACATTCTAAGCCTCACATTAATGTGAAAAATCCTCTGTCTGAAAACAAAAGTACGAGGCCAAGGATGTACAGAGTATTGAAGTTATCCAAATTTAGGCACCATTTATACAAAGGGTCTATGGAGTTATGGTTCACCGAGAAATGAATAAGCCAAGAGGCATAGCCAACATGATGGTCTTTGGTATACTACGTACCCTACTTCCTCCTTGCAGACTAAATCATGACCCAACACATAAACAACACTCTTCAACCAAGTTTCTACTTAAAAATTTTGGATTCAAAGTTCCTGCTCTAACCAAATCCATCCAAGTTAACTTCGAGATGAGAAAATGTGTCTATTGCCTGGTAATCAATCTCACTGATGATTTAAAAAAAAACTTGGGAAAAGACCAAAAGGAAAACCTGAATGATTATTTACATGTATGTTTAAATGATTCACAGGGTTCCTCTTATTAGTCCCTTTGATCAAAACAGGACAAGACTGAGATAGATTGCAGACTGCCAACTTACTCAAGTCTCTTGCTATAGATGGAGAAGGAACTTGTGGTAGTACTTCCTTTACTTGCTGTACCATTCGCATGAGCCTTGTGTTGGGACTTGCACTGTCCTGATTGGAAGGGGTGCTACCATTTTGGACTGATCTAGTTTCATGAGCCTGAACCCTTGCTTGCGCTACAAAATAAAGATTACATATTAAGTGATATTGTCAGTAATAATCATAAATGGCTTTGTCCCATATTCTGTATTTTNTTTTTCAAAGGACCTTTTTGAAGGGCTTATTTTTGGAAGGGGCTTATACTCAGAGGGGCTTATTATAGGACGGAAATTTGCGTTTCAAAATTGGCTGGGCTTATAATTGGAGAGAAATTTGTGTCAAAATTTTTGAAGATGAAAGTTGAAGATACCAGCAAGAAAGAAGCTGTTGTGGGCCATATTCTGGAACCTCTGGCACAGATTTTAGGTCCCATGCTCAAAGATGGAACGATACATTCTATAACCGCAAAGATAACAAGTGAAAAGTGAGGAGCACCAGAGGGAATTTCCATTTGGGAAAAGCGCGTTCCATTTGTCACAAGTCCCATTCATTCACAGGCCCCTCTCTGTCGCTTCTCTGAATCTCCTGTGAATATTCAAAATGGAGGCCTTAGTAAACTGTTCTGCTATTTTCTCAAACAAATCTTTCTTCATTGCTTTCCCGCCAAACAAATGCTTATTATTGGCATATGTGGTTATGAGAAGTCTCACATCTACATCCTCCCATCTTTCTAGGTTTACAGTGGTAGAAACTTCACCTGTGAACGAAGAATTACAAAAGAACTCTTCAGAGCTGTTCATGCAACATTTTACGCGGGAAACGTGCACCGGCAAAAAAAGCTTCAAACAAGCAAGAATTTCTACCTACCACTTTTATATGCAGCACCTTCGTGCTACAATAAATTTTCTAGATCTGGTGCTAGAACTTGGCAGGCAGAGCACTCGTAGTAGCCCTGAAAGTTTGTTTGCAAAAAGCTTTGAGAAAACTGACCCTGATCAGCCACCATTTTTGTTCAAACACGAGGGAGCTTAAAAGACCACGAAAGGCATGGAACTGGTGATAAAGACGAGAAATCTGTAAATGGAACATAAATTTTCCATTCGGAAGTTTCCACCGGGAAATTGGGACTACCTTTTCAGGAATTCCGTTTATTCCAGAAAATTTCCAGTGGAATGAACCAGAAAGTCGTGTTCCATTTACATCCCAACCAGAATTTCCAGAATTTTTTGGTAANTGGTTATGAGACGTCTGACATCTACATCCTCCCATCTTTCTAGGTTTACAGTGGTAGAAACTTCACCTGTGAACGAAGAATTACAAAAGAACTCTTCAGAGCTGTTCATGCAACATTTTATGTGGGAAACGTGCACCGGCAAAAAAAGCTTCAAACAAGCAAGAATTTCTATCTACCACTTTTATATGCAGCGCCTTCGTGCTGCAATAAATTTTCTAGATCTGGTGCTAGAACTTGGCAGGCAGAGCACTCGTTTGTTTGTTTGCAAAAAGCTTTGAGAAAACTGACCCTGATCAGCCGCCATTTTTGTTGAAACATGAAGGAGCTTAAAAGACCGCGAAAGGCATGGAACTGGTGATAAAGACGAGAAATCTGTGAATGGAACACAAATTTTCCATTCGGAAGTTTCCACCGGGAAAATCGGACTACCTTTTCTGGAATTCCGTTTATTCCAGAAAATCTCCAGTGGAATGAACCAGAAAGTCGTGTTCCATTTACATCCCAACCAGAATTTCCAGAATTTTTTGGTAAATGGAAAACGCTCTATGTGTAGTTTGCTTTGGTTTGTATAATTGAGGATAATTTCCAAATACAAGCCTGCGGGGGCTTATATTCGGAGGGGCTTATTATGGGAGGTATTTTTGTGTTTCAGATTTGGGGGGCTTCTATATGGAGGGACTTATACACGGTGGGACTTATTTTCAGAATTTTAAGGTATTGCTCAATTTTCAGATATTATTTTCACACGCACACACATGTACACACTTTTACAGAATATCGTCCCATCAAATTTCATTCCAAATCATGAATGCAGATTAATTGCAAATGTCTCTGATCTGGCGGTGTTATGTGAGTACTAACCTGATATGATATAGTGTATATGGAACAAACATGGACCAGAACAAATCTTGCCACCAACCACTCTCTAAAACATGCTGCATGTACCAACAGAACAAAAAAAAATTCAACAACTTTCTAATGAATTCTGTTAGCAGTTCATGTAGTGTGATTGTCCGGGTGATGGTAGTTCTGAAAAGAACTGTTGTTGGTGTCTGATGTCAGTCACCAACAACAGTTCTTTTTAGAACTACCCTAACCCAAACGATCTCACTATACGAACTACTGATACTCCTGGGTTCAAACCATGTACTAAATTCTGTTAGATTGACCAATCAGTGTGGAGCAGGAGGTAGAGTTGTCAAATAGATCTCCATGCATTAAACTCTACCTGCAGACATCTTAGTTGGATTTTGATTGCTCATGGTGAAGTGCACATCACTGTAGGTTGGGGTGAGTTTTGTTCACAGTCTGTTCTAAGGGTGTGAAAGGTGTGGTTGCCTAGTGGTCAGTGTGCTAGATTCCAGATTAACCAGTCCGAGTTCAAGCCCTGGCTTTGTTCATTACATTGCACATTCTCAGGTAAATCACTTCAATGTCAGAGCACCTCTCCCCATCCACCTGTATAAATAAACACTGGTAAATTTAATCCTGGGAGTTGCCCTGTAATGGACTAGCATGATCCCATCCAGGGAGAGTAAGAATACTGGCAGTCACTTAGTGCGGCTAGAGAAATTGGCATAAGCTTCAATGGCAGTTGTATGGACTGGCATATTTTGGCTGATGTAGACTTAACCTGACATTAACACTGCTTTCAAGGTACATGTAACTTTAAATATCAAACAGGATCTCAGGTTCAGAAGAATCTTCCAAACCCCTGTCCAGCAATCAGCTATGCATTTAACATATTTGGCAATGCTCAAAAACCCTGAACTGCATTTATCTTAAAAACAAGAACATTTTGGAAACTCACAGGAGGTATCTGGACAATCAGAGGACGTCTCACTGAGATTAAAACCTGCAAGAATGACATACAATGATCACCATTAAACCATGCAACAAAAACTAGAATTTGTGAGAATTTGGTACTCAGAGAAATGAAAGAAATGGAATGGCAATGGATTGGGCATAATTATAATAACTGAGAAAGAACATGCACAACATCAGGTAAGAAGGTATGTTATGCCAGGTGGGAAAAGAAAGTGGGGATGGCCCAAAATAACCTGGAAAGAGCTGGCTTCAGCTCATTGTTCATGGCGTAAGGCCCAAAATTAGACATGACACAGGGCTGGATCACCTGAAGGAATACTGTGGAGGTGGCATTATGTGTCACATGGTAAGAAAAGTGCACATTATGAAGCCTCAATAAGTGGGTTATTTTTGAGAAATAACTTCAACTGATTCATAATACATCTCTGATACATCAGAAGCAAATTAAAAGCAGTTGTGGAAGACATATATTTAAGTTTCAAAAGAAAAAGAAGACAGACCAACTCAACTAAAATGACTTACAGGCAATATAGTGCTGCTAAATTGAAAACACCATGGGCTGCAGTATAAACAAGAATATAACACCATTAACTGGAAGAATAGAATGCCTTCATGACACATCAGTATCCAACTTTTCCAACAATTACATGTAAATGATTATCAATGTCTGGAGCCTCCTTTTCCACAAATTTTCAGTGTAGATTAAATTTACCAAATATATTTTAAAAGACAACAGGCTTCAAAGGCTTTAAACACACTTTATGTTTCTATTGAATGACTTTTCAGAACATACTTGAACTTCAGAAGGCCTCTCTTTCCATTAGTGATTTGTTCTTCTGGAAATGCTAGAAGAGGAACACCAGACCCTGAGTAATGATCAGAGAACAAAATCTAATCAGCATGGCTTATAAGTAAATAAAGTAATAAGTAACACTCTATGCAAATTACATGGCTGCACATAATTTATCAACCGAAGTTTTTCATTTATTTAGGTCTGGACATCCTTTTGGTAATAAACTTTTATTAATTAATTTAATTATTGATTTTCTTGTTTGAGTAAACAAATAGCATGGAGATACATGTACAATGTTTATGGTTTCAAAAATAAAGGCAGCTCTGTCGAGGAACAAAGTTCTGGTGCTAAAAATTCAAATTTAAAATTAGTCAATTATAATTTAATTTACCAAGTAAAGAGTTTAAAGTGCATGTTCCAATTGGCAGTTCCTGCTGAGTTAAATGCTCAGTAAATGCATATTGAAACCTGATCCATTTCCATTTCCATGTAGTATTAATTGAATCAGTGTTAGTAGTATTACATTTTGTAGAGTTTTACATTTTCATAAACATTTGCCACGAATTATAACTAATAATAACTATGTGTTTTCACACCTTGCAAGTATTCCTTGATCTTGCTATCTGTATTTTCTTTGTCTTTGTCATCACTTAAGTCTTCATATCCCAGGAGCCACTTAATGAGCCATGGACAATCACATCTACTGTATGGCTGAAATAACAGACATTGAGACTGCTCACTGTTGGTTAATCACCTTTAAAATACATGTAAGCTCTTAAAGATCATTGAAGACCTGCACTGGGATCGTTGAATTTATCTTTCAGGGTTCTTATCCAGATCCTCCCTGGAAGATCTTGTGGGATCTTGCAAGGTACTTCATGTCCCTGTCAAGTTCCTGGAAACTTAATATTGTTGAGAACCTCACAAGACCATTGAAGTCTCTGCAAAAATCCTGGAGGATCTTTGCAGGGACCTGAAGTATATTTGCAAACAGCCTACAGAAACCTTTGTAGACTGCGAGTTGCTGTAAGATCCCTGAGCATCCCGTGGGATCTCTCATAGATTTCCACCAGTGATACAACAACAAGCACTGACAGAAGTAAAAGGTGTACTACTAGCGTTCAATATGTTAAATTTTATTATTCCACTATTAATAAATGCTTTTTACCACAAAAGGTCAAGAGAACGGGCAAGATATATAAACTTGCACAGCTGCAGAGTCATATTTTGTCTTCATCATTCGCACATGACTTATGTGATCGGAACAATTTTTAGATGATGCAGGATGTATTTCAACAACTAGATGCTGAAATGCTAGAAAATGACAAAACAGTGGATTCCAAAATTATTGATAATAAAAACCTTTAGATATTAAATGGTTTAAAATGCAATATGCATGGTCATTTTGCTCATTATTTGTATTTCCTGAGCTCTGTTAAATTACTATACAACTCACAAAAATATCTGCTTATACTCTAATCACCCTGAAACGATTATAAAATATTTTGTAACTAATCTTAATAAAGACAAACACAGCATCAGGGGCAGGCATTTCATTAATTGATACAGGATACAGTGAGCGTTTACATCATCACCATAGAGAAAATACAGATTGAAGTGAATAAACAATAACGCAAAGTTGAAAGAGATGCCTTCAAGTGGCTCTTGCATAACTCACAAAATCCTAAATAGCCTACTAGCCCCTTAGGGATTCATCATACCTGCAAGCATGCCTAAAGTACTTCTACAGTTGACACGAATCATACGTAATGAACATACTCCAGTGTCATTAACGAAATGTTACGAAATATATGAGGTGTACAATATCTTGTATGTAAACTATGCAATAATTAAATTTGCTTTCTGTAATTTAATCAATTTTTCTTCCAGTGCTATATGTTTACATGGCAAACAATAACATTTTAATAATAATTACATTCCGGCCTCAAGAGTCCTCATAGGCCCGATGAGGATGAGTGTGAATAATTACATTATTTTTCTATTAAATGAAACTGTTTAATAATAACTCATGGTAGGTCTTACCATAACACTGGGAAGAATAGTTTCAATGGCAACATTATCCAGAGATGTCACATGATTGCTGACAACAACCTAATATTTCACAAAATAAAAAGAAGAGTCATGTTGGGTATATTTGTCTCACATTTGACCTGACAAAAGAGTTTGTGTACAAGTAGCTCTTAGATTACCAAGATGCATGATGCACATGTATATGTATAACTGGTTGTTACGATAAGAGTTACGTCACCACTATCCAGGAATTTTTTTGATTGAAAAAAATCATTATAATAAGTAAATGAGGTGAAGAGGGTTTTTGAAAGCAGTCAATTTTTTTGTCTAATTAATGAACCGAATTTCTTTACAGGTATTCACAACTGTATGTGTTATTAATAGGCAGTTAAAACTCAAATAATATATCTTCTGTGACAAACTGGTTCTTGTAACAATATTAATCATTTTTAATTTAAGAATATTACCGGTATGTGTACCTTATGCTGGCCTGTGATAAAATTTTCACAACCCTCTTGGGTGACTGCTATGCCTAGTATAGCAGAAGAGACTCTAAAAAGAATCCTACAACATGACCAGAAAACATTTAGATTTGATCTCATTAAATGACATTAAAAACTCACTGATTAATTTAAATTCACAAGTACACCCTTTTGCCATGAGAAAACATACTGATCACATAAATTAAATATTTAGAGATGGTGTCTAAACACATTTCCAAAACACTGAGAAGAGAGTTGAAAATAAGACGTCTGAACAGGAGTAATTTTGACAAACTTCAAGGTGTTTGGAAATGTGGTAAAACACTGTCTTGAGTGTTTGATATACCTTCTCTATCAAAACAGAAAGTTCTAACAAGAAATAGGAGAGGTACATGTAAATTCTTAGAAGTGATTCAGTCTATAGTTAATAAATAAGAGATAACCACACACCACTTCAGTGGTGATAATCTTTCTTTAAACTTGATGTATTATTATAGAGTTTAACAAAACAGCTCAGACAGTTATTTAGGCATTTTCACTTCCAAAATTATCCCACAGTTTGGTTTTCTAGTGAAATTTCAGCATGTTAAACTATCCAACAGCTAATTCCTAGCTACATTCTTATACGTATGGCCAATTAACATGAAAGGTTCAGATATTCTTTCAAGCTTGAAGAATTATTTTTATTAATAATATTTAAAATCTTATTGTGGAAGTGGAATGGGGTGTTGGCTACATGTTATATACATGGACATACCTACTATTTCTTACCTTCTCACAAAAGACTCTTTAGGTAAAATTGACAATATTAGAAATAGTTGAAGTGCAAAGAAGATTCTAAATATTACAAGGAAGAGACCGCATGGGATATACAGCAAGATGAGTAATAGTGCTCCACCATCTGGCAGCCTGGAAAAATTACAAACAAATTGCATAGCAGTTTAAAGGGCTACCTCGAAAATGTCATGCAGTATCAACAATTTTTTGTGCTTTTCATAGAAACAAAAACAAAGAAACCTTGAGTTCTTAGATCAATTTGCCATGCTAAATTCAGTAAATATGCAAAGTTTCATAAGAATCTGTTACTGACACACGGAAAAATGGGCCCCCAACCTTGCCAATTTTAACAAAGAAATGTATGCCAGGGGGCATGCGCTTACCCCCTGGCATACATTTCTTTGTAAAAATTGCCAAGAGCGATCATGCAACACTGGATTATGACACAAGCATACATGCACTGACATTGGTAGCCCAGCTTGGCAAGCTATGTTATAAGCTTGATTAAAATGGAAGCAGGCTTTGTCACTAAGCAACTAGAAAGAATAGCTTGACTGCCTCTGGTTGTCACCGTACATGGGGTTGATAAGTTGTTCTGAATTGACTGTCAGCCAAAATACCCATTATTGCAACAGAACGTAACAAAGTTGCAGGGAAACGATCAGCCATTTAGACATTGTCCCCGTTTGTTCAAGGGACACTAACAAAGCAACAGGTAACAAAATAGCCTGAATGGAGGACAAACCCTCTCTATATATGACTATGCTGTAAATTTCTTAGGTATAAAAGTCGTTATTACTATTTATCAGCCTTTTAAATCTCTATTTCAAAACGATCTACTATGTAAAAAATAGCGATAAATATTACCAAATTGTTTCGGAGCTACGTACGTAATAAATACTTCATGGGGATCTCACCTGTTTCGGTTTAAAAGGTCCGTAAGTCCTGAATTCAAAACCATTTTCTTTTACGATTAGCTGATGTAATAATGCTGACTAGTAATCTGCTGGGCAAAGCCCAGAAAATAATTAAATGTGAAGAAAATGCAGTAAAATCCGATTTGTCAGACCGAGATCTTGAGCAATATGGCCAGCGATATGAGCGTATTACAGTCAGCAGATTTACTTCTAAAAAGTGACTTCGTCATATAAGAACCCCTGTTCTTTCTCGGGATCTCACGCGATGGAAATCATTTACCATGTTTACATGTAACAAAGTTAAGATATTTGGATGATGAAAACTGGGCAAAGTGTTTCTTTTATGGATCAAGTTCGAGAAATTTCGTTTTACTCTTAAGGTCATTTCTCACAATTGCATTGCGCATCCTTACTGCGCATAATTTATGGCGTCATTAGCGCGCGCTTGTGCACGCGCATATTGAAAACATGACGGTTTTGCCTTGATATTGAGCTCTTTCAGTTGAAAAATGGCTCTAGCTCACAAACGAGCATGGGCACCCCAATTTTTTTTCCAGTCGTTGTAATCAACTAATCATAAGCTCTGCGTGAGAAAAGACTGATCTAATTTCTATTGCTGAAAATTGAATAAATAAGAAAAATAGCAACTGACACTGTGGTCTTTTCTATTTTGCAGTCGGTAACCACGTCAAGAAATTTGGTTCAAATTTTTAATCAAGGATTTAGCTTTCTGTCTGAATCAAAATTNGTTACAATTACTGGGAATGCGTTCTTATAATAAGCATTAAATAATGCAAAAATGGGGCATTTTCAATGCCTCACTGCTCCTTAATGAGCATGGACACCCCTTTTTTATTTCAAAATTGAAGTTATCATATGACAAATATTCAGTAGACAAAGTTTGAACAAAAATCTATTGTCCTTAAAAGATATACATGTAAAAGTCAGCAAAAATGAACAGAGAAGGACTAGGAACGAAATTATTTGCGCGTGCTCAGTTCGGGATTATAAAATTAAAATGGCGGACGAAGATGACTTTTTCGCTTCGAAAAAAAAAATCTACGTATGTCATCATTTATTCCAGCGGATTATTTTCGTCAAGAAAAGCGCATCAAGCAAGCTGTCAACGTGAGATGAAAGTATTCAGAATTAACTCCAACATGAGGTCACACGTCGCTGACCTCGAGTACAAGGATGCATGCAAAATAACTTTAATATTCATTCAGATCGGAATATAAATGAAGCTGATTGATTTGAATATTCCAAGGACCAGTGAATACAAACAACAGAAATTTGCCATAAAGGCCCATAGTAGGCGTGTTTACCAAGTCACATGTTAAAAGAAGTCATTGTTGTCGAAGCAAACCCAACAGGTTGGTTGAGAAATTATTCAATTTTTTTCTACAAAACATCTGAAAACATTTAACATTCGATGCAGGCTTCGCAGTTGTTACTTTCGCTTGCAATATCAACTCGCGGGACTTAAACTCAGCAGGGCCTTTATCTCTTTGGACTCTCTGTTTAAACAAAATAGGATTTGCGTGTCTTTTTAACGCGTCTATTTAATTCTCACCCGAGATAATTCAACGAACAAGGTGGAGTTCCGTTAGCGTATAAGTTTACATGTGAATCAAATATAATTTCCTCGTGATCAGGTTGCACGTTCAAGTTTCAATACAACGAAGCTATAAATGTAGCTGAACGTCAATTTGGTCTCTAACCATCCTAATGACTTCTGTAACTTGATTTTCAGCATGTCGACTACTGTAACACCGAGAACCACCAAAACCCAAGTGGAAGCTTCGAAGCGATGGAGCGCTCCGCCGCGTTCACGGACGGTCGGGCGTGCAGTTCGATCTCCCGACGAAGTAGTCCGGGATGTTCGAGGCCTCAAGATGCGACAGAGAGTTTCCTTGGCCCTCGCTGATGATAACCTGAGAGGAGAGCTGGAAGACATTGTCTCGGCCCATAGTCAAAGCCCGATCAACGCGGACGCCTTCCGCACGTACCAAGACTTCTTGATCCCATCGGGATCGTTGTACGGTGGTGGGTTCCCAAGTTTGTCCGCCTCTGCTATAGCAGATATCAGAGGGGCCGATACACTGCACTACTCTAAGTTTGAAAGGCAACTACGTTGCAAGGTGGCTTCGGTGTATCGTCTCATGCAGATGTTTGGATGGGGAAAAGGAGTTTTTGATCGCGCTGCCTGCACGGTATGGGTTCATATTAAGTTAATACTTCAGGAAGTGTCGTGTTTTATTGTTAGCGATATCGATTACAGCACATCAGTGCAATCGCAAACTGCGGAAACAATTCTTTTAATTTTGTAACATTATTTTTGGGCTTTCGTTCAACGCCTTTATATATTTAACTTTCAAATTTCCTGTGAAATATGCATGCATGATTGCGTGTTGGGTAGGCACGGCGTAAAGTGAGATTATATTTCAGGAATTTATTTGCTCACGATACCTGTTGGTCAAGTTATTTGCCGAGTTGTTGATATTTATCACTGGCTTATTTAAAACCCCTTTCTTTTCTCATTGGTTCAAATGTGGATCCTGACAATATCAAAAATGAAATCATAATTTCCGCTCCACACGAGAAAGAAAAATAAAACCTCTCGCACCCAAGATATTGAGGTGTAGACTTTCTGTCTGAATACTATAGGCTCAGCCCTTGACTGGTTAATGTTTGTACTGCCAGTTCTGTTCATGCCATTAATTTATCATATCATTTATCAATGATGTCCAAAATATTAAAAATAATTCCATGTACTAAAAAAATAATTTGGAGGTCTGCCAAAACTGGATGAGGCTGTAGGCTCAGTCTAGTTTGGCATAATTTTGGAGGAATTATCAAATTTATTTGGATATTTACGTGCTATTTATTTTTACAGTGCCCAGTGAATCTAAAATTTTGTTTGTTTGTATATGATATACTAGATTTTTCTACATAATTTGGAGTGAAGATATTTTGCCATTCTCCTTTCCAAACTGTTTCTCAGCTTTTAATTAGCTATTTAATGATTTTTTCCCCTTGGTTATATGGTCAGATAACGAAAGATCAAGGTCAAAAACAACCCTCAATTCAGTGTGCTTTTAAATCAAATTGCTACATCTGACAGTTCAGACAAATCCATGCAGATCAATGGCCAATAATATGCAAGGTCAAGAAAGGTTTTTTCTTAGAAGGCGGGCTGATACATCTCATTGTTATTGAGAAAATGCCAAGAGCAAACACAAATCATCATTTGTTTATCTGCAGCTTAGGTGGAATCAAATGTTTTCTTTGTTTTCTAAGAAAATTCCAGAATGTTTTTTGAATCCTTTATCATATACAGCTTCTCTGATCCTTGCAGTATGTTAATTAAATAATTTTCAGAATTGTCTGCATTTAGCAAGAAGTATTAAAATTATAACCTGCAAACTGCCTTATTTTGATGCATTCAATTTACCTTTAATTTCCATACATATAGTGAACAGATCCTTTTACTTTTCACATTCCCTTGAAAAACCTACTGCAACTATTTCCATTTCACACTGTTACAAAAATTGCTCAAAGCTAAAAAAAAANGTTGTTGTTGTTGTTGTTGTATTAATAAATTTAAACATTTTTTTCCAGGTCTGTGCATCTGAAAATGACAATGAAGAAAACAGCTATTTTGTTGCTCCTACTGGTTTGCTTTTCAATGAAGTGACAGCATCTTCAGTTTTGAAAGTTGACCACAAGGGAAATGTTGTCGAAACAGGAAACACCAACTTGGGAATCTCACAGTCGGCATTTGAACTTCATGCTACCATACACTCCACAAGGAAAGATGCAAAATGTGTCTTGTTCCTTTCAGCTGACTCTGTGAAAGCTGTAAGTATTGTTTTTTGACAAGCAAAACCAGTTAAGCATTCACGTGGCAATCTAGCATTCAAGCATAATTAATTCTCCCCATTAATGATCAAAAACTCATATAAGCATATGGATTAAATCAATATCTGTCTTCAAGTGATTAGTACATTACATGTATGCAAAATTATTTGACAGCTTGCTTGATAGGCCTTTCATTGTCAGTGACAAATTTTATGCAACATTTTATTCAAATGGCCTGACATGTTGCTTCTTCAGTACTGTAATTTTTTAAATTATTGTTATTTATTATAATTATTTTGGCTTTTAGGTTTCTGCAATAAAAGTAGGACTTGTGCCAATTTCTCAAGAAGGAATAGCAGTAAGTACAAAGAAGCTCTACAAAGGCCTAATGGAAGACCTTTGTGAGTTGGTGCTTAATGATCCTAAATAAAGAAGGGGATTTATTGGAAAGAGCATATTTCAAATCATGTATCAGTCAAGGCATATACACTGTAAAAGAAATAATGAAAACTGTTAAATAATCTGGTTTCATGCAATGGGACATTTTTACAAAATAGTAGCTGTTATGTACAATGAACATTAGACTTAATGGTGGATGACAAATGTTAAAATGATAATAATGGATCATTTATTCATTAGATGTAATGCATAAAAAGCACAAAGTTACCTGGTTTTCTTGTTTATAAATTGTTGTGATCTACCATCTATGGATTGGAGAGGTAGTAATTGAAACATTGAAGTTCCAGATAGAGGCTTTAATGGAGAACTGAGTTTCTCAAATGGAAAAATTTTGTTTAATTTTCAACAGTCACATTTTGCAAAAACGAAAAATGCTTGCTACAGTTAGTCTTTGATCATCTTAATCACCACTCTGTAAATGTGGGTTCTTGTAGTGAAAACCCTTTTGTGCAACCTTGTGTAAGAAGAGTACAGTGTGCTGACATTGCGTTGTTATAATGATAGGTTGGAGAAGTTTCCTATCACACTTTTCCTGGGTTTACATTGGATGAAGAAGCCAGGGATTCCTTAATTAACAGCTTTGGACCATCAAGCAGGGTATGTCAGGGTCAATATGTCGGGGTCAATATGTGATGTCAAATCTTTGAATTATTTTGAGTGATCAGTTGTTCATTTTTGTTTCACAGAATTGATATAGAGTGGAACCCCGCCTTATGACCACCCTGTTAATATGGCCACCTGGTTATTATGGCCAATTTATTCTGGCCAGAACAAAAGCTCAGTCAGTCATTTTCTTATTTAAAGAACCCCTTTAATATGGTCACCCTGTTAATACAGCCAGATTTTTGTGGCCCACTGGTGACCAGATTAACGGGCTTCCACTGTATTGTTACAATGCAAATATTGAAAATAATTATTTCCAACTGATCTGTCCTTATTAATATTTCAGGTGTTGATTTTAAGGAATTATGGTGCCATTTGTGTGGGAGAAACAATAGAAGAAACTACCTATCTTGCTTACCTACTTGTCACAGCTTGTGAACAACAGGTATGGGGCACATCAAGGGAACTAATGGTTATGCATTTTTGCAAAGTTAACATGCACTTAACAATTCAAGTCAGCAAAGAGATCAGATGTCTGCATGTAGGGCTTGCTATAGTAAGCATTATCTGTCCGTTCAAGATCTTGGCCCACCCAACACACCCACGATTACTTGTAAACAGGCCAGTTCACAACACCTGCCGAGGGACTCTGTCCCTTACACTTTTCAGATGTGATATGTATTCCTTAGTATCCCCTCTAGCCATTTACAAATGAGGATGCCAAGAATGAAGCTGTAAGAAATGGAAAGAACCCTTTTTCTGACTGATTTTTCCATAGCTCTCTGCGTTGAGTGCCGGGGTGGATGAACTGATAAAGATTGATGACGAAGCCAAGGAACAGATGGACAACGCATTTTATGGAGGTCTGGACGCTAATGAGAATCAACAGAAGATGGCTGAAGTGCACTTTGAGGCCTGGATGAGACTGCTAGATTCCAGGGTAATGGAAGTTCCTTTGAAGGAAGAACTCTGCATTCTTTTGGGAAATTTGTGCAAAAATATCCAAGTTGGAAAATGAAAAATGCTGCAAAAGTTGACATGTGCACTTCAGTTTCTAAGCTCTGTTCAGTTCTATGGCACTAAAAAAGTACAGCAAATGTTTCAGTTTCGGTATGAATTGTTTTGTAAGTGGAAAAAAGGAAGTTGTTGGTCACATTTCTATAGGATTGCAGACAATCTATAGACCATATGAGGGAACTTTAAGCAGTTATAGAACCATTTGCTATAAAAGTGGTTTGTGTTTCTATGGAATGTTTTGTTCTAGACAGTCACTGATCCACTTGTGTTTCTAAAACACTAAAAAAACACAGAAAATATTTTCTACTTGCTAAAGAGTAGAACTCGTTCCCTACATTTGCATGTGTACAGATTAAATGATTAATATCACAATAAACTTTTGAACATTAGGTACCAAATGGAGTGATACATGTCATCGCATTGCTAAAAAAATGTCTCCATCCCACATAATGACTGATACTTTTAACAAATGCCGCCAAGGTGACATTTACTTTCTGCGCGTGTTTTCATATACCGATACTTGTGAATTTGTTCTTAAATTCAGGGCTGTAAGACGGGCTACAACTACCGCAACCCCGAAATCTTCAAAACGGAAGTCAAGGAACCAAAATCTCGCGAGGCTGCGCCAGCCAAGACGTCTAGTGCACGAACAGAGCTGACAATCTACCGTGACGCCAATATACGCCGCAGCGCTTCCCTTGGGCGAGGCAACACCTACAGGTAGGTGAATGTGAGGGATAGGCTTGCACCTCGTAAGCGTACTGACTATTGGTATAAGATGCTAGAATAGCAACATGTAATGAATATCTGTCCATTCTAACTCACGCAGAGATCCACCACGAAAGTTTGACCGTTTGTTCTGGAAATTTTGTCCATTCCATTAGGTTTCCAACGAAATTTCTGTGATATTTGTTGCTTCCATGTCATTGCTGAACCAAAACTGCAATAATCGCGAGTAGTCTCACGTGACTTTTCCCGCGCTTCTACGGTTGGCGGGATTTAACTTTGAGCTGATTGGTTCTTTAAGCTCTAACCAATCAGAGCAAACAAGTTATTTTTCAATCAATCAGGAGCAAATCCAAAGTCCATCGTACTTGATTTTCGCGCGTTTTTCCGCGCAAAGGACGAGATGCATGTATTTGCTTTGAGTTCTAATTGGTTCATTTGGTTTCCTAGGAGTCGCCTCAAGTGGCTCAACTCACCTGTTAAGTCTACCGAGTACAGGCGAGAGCGGGAACTGGACAATTCTGAGCCCACACTCATTAAGGACAGGAAGCCAGAGAAAGAAAATAAAGACGATGAGGTAAACGACTAAGTGCGCAATTGAACTGCTGGAAGGAAGTCAGGATGACTCACCCCTGTATTGTGTTTAACCCTTCATACCCAAAATAAGTTGATTGTAGTCAAATGCCGCTCTGCCAGTGGATTAGAGTGCGGCTTTATGCGCACAAAACTTGTCATGGCGTCCTACAAAAATTGTCATTTGTACATCGGGATTATGAGAGAACCACGTTTCCTTAAACCTGCGAACATTCGCAGGTTTTCGTCGCCCTAACTAATCCCCGAGCGAAGACTGTCTGCTCGCTGGCTAACAAAGCACTTTGTTATCCAATTGGAGTGCGTGTGCTATAGACATTGTATTTTCACATGAACGCTCTCATTGGAGAACTTGACCTGTATTGTAGGAGATTGAGGGACTGTGCAATAATTACCTGGTGGGGGCGGGGGTGTGGAAAATTAGGGGGGGCATGGGAGAAAATGACAACAAGAGAGAGGGGGGTTGGATGTAAAGTTTAATACATACAGGGGGGGCATTACTTTCTCATTCCTTTTTGCAAACTGGAAAACTAGTGGAAGAGTTATTAGAGTTCACATATAAATACTAACATTGGAATAAAACTGACAAATTTATCAACTCTAAGGTGTTCTGATCTATGAACCGTTGTTTTCCTATCTGAAGAAAGGTCTTTGCAAGAGGTATGTTCCCAGTACAACGTGGACGAGAGTGTATGTAAAAGTTATGTACAGCAGCTTTCGCTCCACGATGCAAAAGCTAAAAAAAGAGTAAGAGAAGGGAACCTTCTTCCGCTTATTTCTTGGATAATTGAAAAAGATGTAAAAGCGCTTACCAACAAGCAGCTGAAAATTTATCTAAAGCAAAAAGGTCTCAAGATAAGTGGAAGCAAGGCTGAATTGATTGATCGAGTTCTCAACCACGCACGCGGGAACCTTACTGCTGTAGAAGACGAGGAATCTCCCAATTCATGCGAAGACGACACAAGCTCAGAGTCCAGTGATTCTGATGACTCTTCATGTGACTCTTCAACATAGTTTTGGGGCATATTTCACCCATTTCCTAGACCCCACACCCCTCTTTCGAGGTAATTATTGCACAGTCCCTAAGTTGCTCAAAATACCTTGAGCTGCAGACACGTTATCTTCGAGGAAGATTAAAGTCTCTTTTTTTCTCTTGAAAAACAGGAAGTGTTTATCACCACGAAAGTCGTTTCAGTTAACCAGTCTGCGCCAGAACTGCCAACAGAGGAGGTCACGGAGGAAGTGGTGACGTACGTGCATGCGCAGGACAGGAACTTTTCTCCACAGGAGATCCAGTTGTTGATAGATGACTCCCGGGATAGCCTGGACGCTAGTGGAGAGCCCGTGGTGGTGGAGCTGGTACGAGAGCCGGTGGGTCTTGTGCGGAGGAAGTCTGGAAACAAGGTGAAGAAGCGACGAAGTTTTAGGGATAAGTTTGCCAAGAGGCTGAGCAGCGGACAGTAAAATAATTAAGTTGAAATCCCGTTGATCTAACCTTTTTCCACACTGAAGTATGTTGAGACTTTTGCAGTTCCCTGTATTTTCCTTTTAACTCCTGACATAAGGAATATCAAGTTTGTTCCTAGTGTCTTTGTTCCTACCGGACATAGTGGGAATAGAGGTTCTGGGAACGAGGTTTGAAAGAAGCAGAAGCCAAAGTCCAGGATCGTCCGTCTGCGCATACATAACTTCAATCAACTAAAGAATGGTACTCGTGCGGTTTGTGAAGAAGGCTTAAATGAGAAACAGTGTTTTGACGTGACGGGATGTTTTTTTCGGATTTAATTGAGTTTACTCTTGCGAGCGCTTACGAACGATCCCTGTCTTTTTCTGCCAGTTCCTAGGGAGAGGGGAAATTTTAGAATTTAAATATTGAGGGATACGTTTTCTAATGGGGTAAAGTCACACCTTTTTACATGCAAGCAGAACTGCGCTCGCATTCGCGCAAGATCAGTTTTTACACACTCGTTACACGCATACTGTGAAGTACACGCGCGCTTGAACGGCATACACTTAAAGGGCTTAAAGGGCTTTCATTGCCCGCTTATCAACTACGTTACGTACGTTTCCTGTTTATAAATACTAGAGCACATGATCGCACGTGTAACGGGCGAAAACAATCACAGGTACGTTAATTAACCGCTTTTTAAATTATATTCCTAATACATGAGCGTGCTTTTTCTCAGAAATACACTTTTACCCTTTTATAGAGTGTTGTTACAGAGCACCTTGAGTTCACACGTTTTTATATTAGCAGTGGCATTTTAACTTTGGTATAACAGAAATGTTTTGAATTAAAGGGTTATCGTTGCTCAAGTTCTAAGCAAAGTCGTAGTGCTCATTAAAATAATGAAACGGAACTGTTTTGTAAAATGAAAGCGAATCCGCGCTTGTATTTGTTGACTAAGTTGCTTTGGAATCGAAACTTTTGGAAAATGTGCATCTGCTGGGACAATTGTT